AAGATCTTCCATGCTTCCTTTGAAGATGCAGCGTTTGCAATCTTCTCGAAACCTGACTCATCCACGGCATTGTACAAAAAATACAAAGCCGATTTGTCCTTCACTCGTGTCTTTTCCAATGCGGCAATCTGAGCCACAGATTGGTCTTCGTCCTCCTCGGGTTCTTGGAACCCCTTCTCCACTATGTCCCATAGACTTTGGGAACCCAACAGGGTCTTCATTTGTAAACACCAATTATCATAATTGGTTTTCTTTGACAGTTGTGGTACGGTCATTCCATTCACAACCTTTGCCATTACTCTCTCTTTCTTCTTTCTTCCCCCTTCACAGGCGCACACTGTTTTCCCCTCACACTCGGCACTCAGAGCATATAGCTCTGATACCAATTTGTAGAAAAACTAAGAGAGACGAGTAACACTAAAATTGTGGGTGATCGTAGCAACTCACTGTGATTTTTATTGAATAAGAGATGGCCTTTAAATAGCCATTGTACAACGTACTGAATTAACAAGAAGATAATAAAATATCTTATCAAATCAAAACTTACCAAAAAACTATCTTATCTAATCTGAAACCAAATAACTCAAAATCAAATAATTCCAGATAACTAAATCGGATATCCCGGATATCTTGGATATCTCGAATATCTCGGATATCTCGGATATCTCTAGAAATTTAAGATTATCCAACAATGCCAACAGCAATTGAACAGATGCAGAAGTTCCCAATAGATGTTAGAACCTGTAACAATTATGTGATGTCACTGAGCATTATCCTGACAATATTTCTCACGGAGATGTTTTTACTTGAGACAGAAAACACTCATTCACCAACATTAAGGACACTACAAATCCTATATATGAACCTTCTGGAAATGTCCAATATGTGTTGTGTTTTCCACAAGATGAGCTGCCTTCCCGAAAAAGGTGTGAACTCCGGTTGCAATAACTACTGCCTCAATTTCTCCTTGCTTGCAAGTTGAACCAGAATATACTCCATCTTCAGGATTTTTGGTGACAGGAAGTGACTCTCCAGTAAGAGCAGACTGAAATACATAGAAAAACATATGCAAGAGGGTCATGTGTAAGATGATATGATAAAGCATAATATTAGTAACGATCTATGAAGCACTGACTCAGACATGGACACCCGACACGACTCAGACACCAACTAATGTCCAAAAAGTAGGAGACGACATATATATAAGTTTAACACTTTTATATGATAATGATCCATAAAAGATGAACTAAATTTTTTATAAGTTAAAACAATGAGTAATTTTTATGAAAATGAGTCTCACTATGAATATAAAAATGTCACCAGCCTTACATATATATTAATAAGTTGACTTCTGAATTATATTTTTTTTAAATAGGAGGGTTAGATGAGTGTTTAGTTAAGAATATGGATAGACTCACACTTTTGACTCGTGTCCAAGTCGTGTTAGACGGGTATTAAAGTTATGTTAGAAAGGTTTCCAAGAAAAAATAAATTTAATTGTGACACATTAGAGAGGTGTCAGACGTGTGTCAAGGCCAAGACGTGTCTGACAGATATCATGTAACATACGTCGACATGGAATTCTATCGGTGTTTCATAGGTAATGAAGTCACATCTCATCTATCTATGCATCAAACACTTAATTTCTTATCCATGTAAAAATGATATTTCTTATTTAGTTCACATATTCTCTTAGTCTAACTTAGTTGATATGGAAAAACCTCAACCATTAACAGCCAATTTTACCTGATCAATCTTCAAAGGATCGCCTTCAAGGAGACGTGCATCAGCAGGAATGATGTCACCAAGCTTGATGCTAATTATGTCTCCAGGAACCAACACTGAAGCTTCTTCTTCACTCCATTTTCCATCGCGAAGTATCTGTTAATGTAATTAGATGTCAAAGGAAACGGAAACAAGACAAGATAACAACGATATTGGAAGAGAAATCTGAGAGGAAAACAATGTGAGACCCCATATCCGTTCTTTTTTTTTCTCTTCCTCACTATCACTCTCATACTCTTTTCTCCTTCCCTCATTCACTCTCAAATTTCCTTGTCTTCTCTTTGCCTTTTGTCTTTCTCTGGAACCATTAAGTGGTGGAGCTGAGGAGTTGTGTTGGAAGCTAGCAGAGGCGCGGGTTTTCTTTCTTCTCCGTTGATTTTCTCCGTCCGTCCTCCATCTTCTTCTCCATTCTCCGCGATCCCGAAGCTCGGATTCTTCACCGAGGTAAGGGAAGCTAGGATTTTGTGCTGGTTGTTGTTGAGTGAGTTAGAAACTCACGGATTGTCTAATTCTTGGAGATTTGATGGCTGTGTTTGATAGATTTTCATTTTCGGGGTTTCGTGGTTTGATGAAAATTTGGGGTTTTTGGTTTCTTGATGGAAGGTTGAACATTGATGATTTTTCTTGAGTTTTGGATGCATGCATGTCGTGATTGTTGATGTTCTTGGGTTGCATGTGGTTGATAGTATTGCATTTGAGTTGTAGCATGGTTTGGGTCTCCTTGGATTGCAAGTTCATGAAGGTTTTGGGTAAAAACGAAGCTGAAATCCATGGAGTTTTTGGAAGTTCAGAAACCCACAGCTATAGCCGTGGAATCACAGCTATAGCCGTGGAAGAAAATGCACTTGTAGGAACCCACAGCTATAGCCGTGGATTTGCAGCCACAACCATGAGAAGGAAAAATGTGATGGCAGAGACTTGCAGCTATGGCTGTAGTTTTTGCAGCCATAGCTGTGGAAAATTAATTAGAATGACAGAAACTTGCAGCTATGGCCGTGGATTTGCAGCTATGGCTGTGGAAAGAAAAAAACTGAACTGCCAGAGAGTTGCAGCTAAAGCGCTGGATTGAGCGCTGCAGCGGTGGGCCTTGATGACCGAATTTGGTCTTAAGGTCTTCATGAAAGTTGTATCCTTGGATCTTAGCTTTCCAATGGCGTTGGAATCACCCAAAAAGGAGTTCTAGAACTCCAGATATGGCTGTTTTAGTGAAGAGAGGTCAAGCTGTCAGCATTACATCTAGCTGTTGCGGTTTTTAGAATTTTTAATAAGGTAAATGAAGGAATTAGGACTTGGTGTCTTCATGAGAGTTGTAGGAAACCTTCTTATCTTTAATATGAGATAAGGATGAGCATGGTAGGAGTAGTATAGCTCCTGATGCGCTGTTTTCTGTGAAGGTTGCCATTTCACATTTAGTGATTTGGTTAAGCTGAAAGTTGTTTTAGGTGCTTAGGCTGATTGATGTTGTTTGGGTGGGTATAATTGACAAGATAGATGAGTTGTAAACCAGATGGATGAGCCGTGTTATGTGTTGAATATGTTATATGTTGATTAATGATGTTAATGCCGTATGATGAAAAGCTAAACTGTGTCGAATGTTGTTTATGTTGATAATTGATGAATATGATGTGATGACTAGCTGAAATTGCTGATTGATGATGTTGAGCTGTGTTAAGTGTATGTTGTTGTAAGATGCTTAGACGTGCTGTAAGACGATAGGTTGTGCTATTAAGCTGAGTTGTGCTATGTGATGCTAATGCTAAACTTTATTGTTTGAGTCGAGTTGAATTATATGCTGATAATTGTTGAATTTTGCTGTGATTGCTGAGCTGAGATGTAATTGATAAATATGTTGTGCTGACTAGATGTAAATGCTGAAAAATGATATTAAGCTGTAATAGATGTATCTCGCTATGCTGAGCTGGGCTGTTATTGATAATTTTAAATGCTGATTTATAATATGGCTATGCTCTAGAATGACGAGCTGTGTAATGAGTAGTAAGCTGTGTCGAATACTACTTAGCTGTGCTGTCTGCTGATTTTGCTGTGTTGTTTATTGATGAGCTGTATGCTGTATTTAGCCACTATTGTGGTGCTGTTATAACCGCTATGTCGGTGCTATTAGCCACTATTGTGGTGCTGTTATAGCCGCTAAGTCGGTGCTGTAGCCGTTCAGTCGGTGCTGTTGTCTTCCACATGCGTGGTGCTGTTATAACCGCTCAGTCGGTGCTGTTGTCGGCCACATACATGGTGCTGTAATTGCCGCTAAGCCGGTGTTGATATTGCCGCTTTGCGGTGCCGTTATAACCACTTGAAGTGGTGTTGTTGTTGCTACTATGCAGTGTTGATGTAGCCGCATCGTGGTGCTAGTATTGATTAGTGGTATAAGCTGTGCAGATGCGATGATACTTAAAAGCCAAAACTGAAAATATTCAAAGTTTTCCTGTTTCTCATAGGGTTTCTCGTAGGAACCCACAGAGCACTCTAATCCATATCAAAATATATTCAAACTCAAAATTAAACATACATTCATGCTCAATAATCATTAGAGAATACAACTCAAAACTCAAAACAGAAAATATTTAAAATTTGTCTGTTTCTCATAGAGTTTCACGTAGGAACCCATAAAACACTTTAATTCATATCAAAATTTATTTATTCTCAAAATTGAACACATATTCACACTTAGAATCACACAAGAAACGCAACAAAATAATCTAAAAACAAAATAGAAAACTTTTATAAAGTGTTTATTCCTATACGCATACATCAGGCAAGGGATTGGGGTCAATCTGACTACCCAACAATTATTTCCACACCTACGAGTGAGATTTCTCACTCCTTCCTTACCTTGGTCAGTAAAAGACAAAGCGCGTATGGTTCCCCGGTGACCTCCTCCTCATGGTTCTCGTGAGTATTCAGAACACAATGCGTAAAAAGAAAGAGAATGTGAGGAGCTTGAAAATAACTCCTAACAACCTCCTTTCTTAAAAATAATAAAAATAAATAATAATAATAATAATAATAATAATAATAATAATATTTAGTAAAAGATCACTAGGTCCCTCCTTCCCTTCTCAAAAAATAATTAAAATAATTAAACATCTTTCCTCCTTTTAATAAATAACATAAACATAATTCTTGATAAAAAAAAATATTTTCATAAAAATAGTCTTATAACAAATAATTCAAATATTAATTAAAAATTATTTTTATATTAAAATAGAGCTCACATAAAATAGATAAATAATATAAAATATATTTCTCCTTTTAGTGAAAATAACATATGTTTATATAAAAATAGAACTCATATCTACTAACTAAATAATATTAAAAATCTTTCTAATAAACACATTAAAATATTAAAATAAATACAGACATATTATTAATAAAATACATTCATAAAAATTACCTATATCACTAATCAAAATAATCGTCATAAATCATATCTCATAAATAAAATAGAGCTCATATAATTAATTAAATAATATTAAAACTCTAAAATAATTATATTAAATATCAAAATAATTTCAAAACTTTATTTATATGAAGTATAAAAAAATCGGGATGTTACACATCCTCAATTATACAATTTCACACTTGTACAATCTCTAAATCTCTCTCATTTCAATGTATGCGAGTTGTTACAGGGTAGAAGATAAATATTGTTCTATGGCCATAGAAGATAAAGTTTGAATTATTTGTAGCTGGAGGTTTGACCTTGGGGATTTAAATGAGTAAGAAATGAAGGTGAAATATCCTATTGTTGATTAAGGTGAAATATCCTTTTATTGGTTGATGTTATGATGATGCTCATTTATCCTGACTAGTCACTACAAGTATAATTCAAATTTTATTGTATCATGAAAATCTAATATATGATATGTATATATATTTATATATATATATATATATATATATATATTTATTTTATGTTTAATATTGATTATAAATAATTTTGTATATTCTTTTGAATTATTGTATTTATTGGATATTGTTCTCACTTCTCTTTTTTTTTTTTTAAATTAAATATATTATAAAATAGATGGATCTACTTGGGATTCCAGATCATTTTGCAGTTGTTATTACTGCTGTCCTACTTGGAAGAAATTGGAGTATGAAAACTATTTGATGGATCTGTTATAATTTTATTTTCCAACCATATTATTTCAATTGTAATTTTCTTTCCACTATCAATATAAATATTGTAATAGAAGTAGAAGAAAGAAATAATATGTAAAATGTACATTATTGTAAATATTTTAAAACGATATGTCATGTAATAAATGCACAAAATATTCTTTTTCTTTATCTTTATCTTCATTAAAAAATATTGTTAATGAAAATATTATATAAGAAAATATATAATTATTATTATATAAATCGGGCGTTACAATAGTGAGGGAACACAACAGAAAACTCAAAAGCCAAAACTGAAAATATTCAAAGTTTTCCTGTTTCTCATAGGGTTTTTCACAAAATTTCCCACGGATTTCCCACGGATTTATCCTGGGAAAGCCAATGTTGTGGCTGATGCGCTGAGTAGGAAATCCATCCACATGTCTTGTATGATGGAGAAAGAGCTGGAGCTGGTTGAGGGGTTCAGGGATTTGAATCTTTATGTGGAGTTAGCTCAAGATCACATTAATTATGGGATGATTACCATAACTAGTGAGTTCTTGAGGTAGGTTGGACAGAAATAGTTGTAAGATGTCGAGTTGGTGAAACTTGTTGGTTTGCTGGGAACTGAGAAGGCTGTTGGTTTGAGCTGGGAGGAGATTCTACCGATGGTTGAGTTCGCGTATAATAATTACTTTCATGCTAGTATTGGGTTGGAGCCGTTTGAAGCCTTATATGGCAGAAGATGTAGGACTCCTCTGTGTTGGTATCAAGATGGTGAGTCAGTGGTTGTGGGACCGGAGCTAATCCTACAGACTACTGAGGAGGTGAAGCTGATTCAAGAGAGGATGAAGACTGCTCGAAATAGGCAGAAGTCATATGCTGATAAAAGGCGTAAGCCTTTGGAGTTTGCTGAAGGGGAGCATGTGTTTCTAAAGGTGACCCCGACCTCTGGTGTGGGTAGAACATTGAAGGCAAGGAAGTTGACACCGAGGTTTGTTGTTCCCTATCAGATCATATAGCGTGTGGGTCTGATTGCTTATCGGTTGGTTTTGTCACCGTCTCTTTCAAACCTACACGATGTGTGACACCCTTACGACCACAACACATACATCAAAATAATATAACAAAATTAAAGAAAATAAACTTTCTAAATTGGTAAAAGGGTTCACATAAAAATTCAACAACCTAAAATACAAGAGTTTCTAAAATTGTTTTCAAAATAATATTACAGTATCAAAATCACATAAATATCTCGACCTAGAAATCCTCTGCCCCGATGTCACACTATCAGAGCATTTTCCCAAAATAAAACTGTTGGCATACTATATGCCACTTGCAGCTGGATCCTCTCCACCTAAAATATCCACAAATTATACGGTGAGAAAAGAAAAATTATCTATATGCAAAATACATACAAACACATCACAAAATAATCTCATCATAATTCATTATTTAATATATATATATATATATATATATATATATATATATATCAATCATTCATCATTCTCATATCTCTATTCACA